GCATCACAGCTCACAGCAACCTCCAACTCTTGGGCTTAAGCAATTCTCTTGCCTCAGCCTCCCAAGTAGCTAGGACTACAGGTGCCCACTACAACGTCTGGCTATTTTTCTGTTACTATTGTCATTGTTGTTTAGCAGGCCTGGGCTGGACTTGAACCCACCAGCCCTAGTGCATGTGGCCAGCACCCTAACCACTGAGCTACAGGCGCTGGGCCAACCTGTCAACATTTTAAACGTCTACACCATTGACCTCACAAACTCGTTGATCAGGAGTTGTTTGTTGCAATATTATTTGATAAAGCAAAACAAAAATTAAAAGCTGAAAACTGGAAGTAGCGTAAGTGGTCACCAATGAGGAATTAGTTAAATAAACACAGGACATTCACAAATGAAAGCAGAGCACTAAGCTTCCATCCACGAAAGACATTAATAGCAAGGGGTAGGGCCAGGCGTGGTGGCTCATGCCTGTAGTCCCAGCACTCTGGGAGGCCGAGGAATGTGGACTGCCTGAGCTCAGGAGCAGGAAACCAGCCTGAGCAAGAGCAAGACCCTGTCTCTACTAAACAAACAAAAATGAACAACAAAAAGTAGCCGCTGAGGCAAGAGGATCATTTGAGCCCAAGAGTTTGAAGTTGCTGTGAGACTCTGTCTCAAAAAAAAAAAAAAAAAAAAAAGGGACTAGGGATAGAGAAAAAGTGTCGCTTGTCTTGTCTTGTCTTTTTTGCAGTTTTTGGCCAGGGCCAGGTTTGAACCTGCCACGTCCGTATATGGGGCTGAAGCCCTACTCCTTGAGCCATAGGCGTTGTCCCACTTCTCATTTTATACCTGTCTGGTCTTTTTGCACTTTTTCCTATAGCAGTTTTGTATTTTTTTTTAACCTTTACAGCTAAATAAAATAAAATAAAATAAAGCTAAATTAATATATAACTAAAGTGTTTCCCTCAAAATAATCACAAGTAAAGAGAATGATTAAAAAGGTTTGTATCTAAAGGACAGCAGCCGGCTCGGCGCCTGTGGCTCAAGTGGCTAAGGCACCAGCCACATACACCTAAGGTGGCGGGTTCGGATCCAGCCCAGGCCCACCAAACAACAATAATGACAGCTGCAACCAAAAAAAAAAAAAAAAAAATAGCCAGGCACTGTGGCGAGTGCCTGTGGTCCCAGCTACTTGGAAGGCTGAGGCAGGAGACTGACTCACTTGAGCCCAGGTGTTGGAGGTTGCTGTGAGCTGTGATGCCATAGCACTCTACCCAGGGGGACAGCTTGAGGCTCTGTCTCAAAAAATAAATAAAGGACAGCAGCCTAGGACAGAATATGATATGGGCCTTGATCCTACATGTGGGATGTGCTAGGAGACCCTGGGCCTGCACTGCCACTTCGAAAGTCAGGGAGATATAGCCTGGGAGCTGGGCCATTCTGAGGAGAAAGGGAGAGAAGTCCGGCACAGTGCCTGAGGCACAGGCATCACCCAGCCGTGCAGCGGGAACCAGCTCCCTGTCTAAATTGCTCAGAGACTCTCTTTACACTTCTAGGAAGATGACCACAGAGATAAGCACCAAACAAGGGAGTCTGTGGGAATGAGACAGGCACGAGAAAACATCAGACTCTCCGTGTTTCAAGGCTGGAAGAACCTTAAAGGTTTTGGCGGCTCGGCGCCTATAGCTCAACCGGCTAAGGCGCCAGCCACGTACACCTAAGGTGGCGGGTTTGAATCCCCAGCCCGGACC